ACATATACATATATATATACACATATACATATACATATACACATATACATATACATATATATATACACACACACATATACATATATATATACACACACACATATACATATATATATACACACACATAATAAAAATGTAACTAACATAATTTAGAATACAAAAAAAATCAAACTCAACATGGAGCACAAAAAATATAAATAATATCTATGAAATATTTAAGTTAATTAACAACCCTTTGCTTTGCATTCTAAAATAACTCTTTGTCTGTAAAGTCACTAATGCTGTAGTGAAGTACTTATATAAGTATAAAGTAGCACAGAAATTGAAGCAAAGTACAAGTACATCAAAACTGTACTGGAGTAAATGTACTTAGTTACTTTCCAGGTTTTGTCCGTTGAGGAACGAGAGGAGACGAAACTGATCCGAGTTCATCTTTAATGACACAAACAGCCTCAAACATCAATAAATTAACAATGAAAAACCAAAAAGAAACGTTATATTTTGGCGGTCTGAAGATGAAACCGATCACTTCCTGTTTGAGACTCCGCAGTCATGTGACTGTCGGCATCAGACTGCACGAAATAAGGAGAAAAGAAACACAAAAATACTCAAAAAAACGTACAAAATCCATTTAGGAGAAATAAAACAATGCGACTTATTGCCTTAAGTTGAACAGTCGAACAATAAAAAGACAAAAATCTCAAACAGTCTCTTTAAAACCTGTCGAATAAAACAATAATAAAAGCAGAAGGACCTTCAACACAAAGATCAAATGTCAGCCATCAATAAAACATCGAGTTTCATGATTTCTTCTACAGCTCAGGTGGGAGGAGTCAACTCGTCTGCACGCAGCCACAGAGACCAAAGTACCAGGATGTAGACCAGCTCAGCGGGGGTTTGATAAACGTCCTCGAGTGATGTCACTCGAGTCGCCCGCTTCCCTCACAGAGACGGTTACAGACGATGACGTCGCCCTCTAGTGGTCGTGGTAGTTTGGATGGAATTGAGGCGGGACTTTCACCCTGGAGACCACTGTTGGTGTCTCCTGTACTTTTTTTTTGTTTTGTTACTTACGTACTTAGTGCTAAAGTTACCAAAAAACCCAAACATGGATCTTTTTGTTTCAACTCACAAACCCCAAGTTTCACTTTCACGACCTGGTGGGCGGAGTTTAAACCCGTCAGAAGCGTCGGAATAAAGGTGATAACCTCCAACAACGAGCATCCAATCGGCCGATCACATCGGAGACGGGTGCTTGATTCAGCAGTCGGTTAAACACGACAAGTTTACAGGAAAAGTAAAGAAATCCAGACGAGTTAAAGAGAAGTGAGACCTGCTGCTCATCTCCAGGCTACACTAACCGCTAACTAGCAGAGGTGTAACGGACCGACGCAACGTTAACCGTCACAGTGTAAATAAAGTTTCACTGACTCAGTAGAACATGTGTTTCTAGTCTCTGATCATGTTTCATTGTAAACAACCAATCAGTGTTTAAACCAACAGGAGGAGAGCTAGTAACGTTAGCAGCACCGCTAACGGCTAACCAACAGGAGGAGAGCTAGTAACGTTAGCAGCACCGCTAACGGCTAACCAACAGGAGGAGAGCTAGTAACGTTAGCAGCACCGCTAACGGATAACCAACAGGAGGAGAGCTAGTAACGTTAGCAGCACCGCTAACGGCTAATCAACGGAGGTTCACTTCAGTTACGTTATGATGCCTTCAGGCTCTGCTCAGTGAACATGAGTACTGGCTGAAGGTACATTATAACGTTATCATGATGTGTTCACATGTCATCTGTAAAATGTAGTTTTGGTGATAAACTTGAATAAATCCAGTAGTTTGAATGAGATGTTTATGAATATAAAATAGATATTAGAGATGAATTATGATGTTTAACTTCCTAACACGAGCTCTAAGAACATTATTATACATCAGTAAAGATAATAATGAGATTTATTTATCAATATAAATACAATCTTTTATTTCCTAATCATTTGAATTGTGTTTTTATGAAGAAAAAAACTATGAAAGTAAACAAGTAACAAAGTAAAGTATAACATTTAGTATTTTTGATGGTTTACAGACGTCAGAGCGTTGAAATGATTTTTGGGACGATGGCAAGAAGATAAACAGGCTGGATCCTAGTAGACCAGCTGCTCTAATAAACATCAAAGGGATCTGTATCTGTCAATATGGATCATTAATATTCAATAACTAGTATCAGTGGGAAAAAAATCAGGGATCTAGAAGTTATATTTACTCCTTTTTGTATTTTGTGGTGAGATTTATGATCCGTCGCATCTCTAAGAACACAAAACCTCTGCGTGAATTGTCGGTGGTCGAGTTGCATTGTGGGTAATGTAGGCGCCTGGTTTTGACTTGGGTAGAAGAAGAAGAATGAGTGGAATAAAAAGAATAATAAATAAAGAGGATCTCTGTGGTTCTGATCCTCTTTGTTAGAGACACGTACAGAACACGAGAGATCTGAGTCTCACAGAGTCAAACTAAAATAACACAATGAAAAGACGCTGCAAGCTCATCCACCACCTCCTCCTCCTCTTCATCCTCCTGTTCCTCCGGCCTGTTTCGCAGCGCGGCCATCAGGCGGTCACGTGACACGCAGCTCGCAGGTTTGACTCCAGTGACAGCAAATTCTTCTTCTTCTTCATATTTTTCTGTCACTCTCACTGCAGCAGTCTCTCTCTCTCTCTGTCTCTGTCTCTCTCTCCGTCTGTCTCTCTCTGTCTGTCCACCTCTCAGGTGCGTCTCCTCTTGGCTCCCCCCGGACTCGCCGGGTTGGAGGACGACAGCAGCTTCTCGGCTGCTCGACTCCTCTTCCTCTTCTCGGCCTCCTTACCACCTCCTCCACCTGCTCCTCCTCCTCCTCCTCCTCCTGCAGTTCCTCCTTCACTCCCTCCTTTCTCCTTGTCCCGCTCTCTCTCCTTGTCCCGACTGCTGCTCGTTCGCTCCGACATCTTCACCGACGAGTTGCTGCCTGGAGACGAGAGGGACAGACAGGAAGTGGCATCAACACCAAACATTTTAAGTATTAAAACGTATAAAACATTTTCATGTCTCCAACCAAACCTCTTGTTGTGTTCTGTGATGTTTGACAGGAAGTTACATGATAAGAAACAGTATGACCTGAAACAAACAAACTCATGAGGAAACAAGTAAATACTAGTTGCACCTTCTTCATGTGTAGCTGGAGGTTCTCTCTCCATCCTGAACTCTTCTTTGGTCTCCTCCTCTGAGCCCAGCTTCCCTGAACAAACAGAGAAATGGTTTTTAGAGAAGTAGAGTCATTTTCTCATAGACTTCTATACAACCAGAGGAGTCGCCCCCTGGTGGACACTAGAGAGAATGCAGCTTTAACACATGAAGCTTTGATTTCACTGGAGGTTGTCTCCTAGTTTGTCTCCTCACAGTTCACTTCACACCTCTCACCTTCTTTCACCTCCTGGATGATGTCATCAGGCAAAGAGAAGCTCTTCTCTGTGTTTGGAAACGGCAGGATCTCTGACTCGTGCTGCATCTCACACTCACACACACACACACACACACACACACACACAGAGATGATGAGCTCGGTCAGCTGATGCTCAGACATATATGTGTGTGTGTGTGTGTCCTCACCAGGGCCTGCATGTCGTACATGGTCCCCAGATGATCCCAGATGACGGAGGACGAAACCTGCCGGCCGATGTTCTGACTGAACTTGTCTCTGATGCAGATCATGTGGAAGTGACGGTTCACTCCTGGAGAGAGAGAGAGAGAGAGAGAGGGGGGAGAGAGAGAGGGAGAGAGGGGGGAGACGGGGAGAGGGAGAGAGAGAGGCAGTTACACTCACTGGGTCCAGACTACACACAGTGTGATAAACGTTTCTGATGGAACATGTGTTCAATGACAGTCGGAAAGATGCAAATCTGACAATAATGACGTATTTTACAGCTTCTGACTGATGAACGGTGTAGTTTTGACGATTGTTTAAACCTTTTCCAACTCCACCCTATTCTGGAGCAAAACCGCCTAAAATGACACACCCAAATTAAAATGGCTGTAGCTTCTGAACCACTGACTATATGCAGCAATGAGGTCTTTCTAGAAAGAAAACCCCCAAAGGTTCCTTGTGGAAGTGTCAGAAAACCTGTAGGTCATACAGATCAGGCCTTTGTAGGCCTTTGGAGTCAGTAAAAATTGAAGATTTTTGTCCGCCGAAAATAAAAAGTGTCTTTCAGTATAAATAACTGCCTGTGGCTGTATCTGTACAGGTAAAGGACAGTATAGGGCTGTAACTACACTATCAGTGAACAACTGCCTCAAATTTGAATAAGATTGGACAAAGGATGACCATTCTACAGTGTTTCTTCCATGAAGAAACCATGGACACATGGTAACCAAATGATATTCGGACACACTAAAGGTGTTTCTCCCTTTATATTTTGATATTATATTATTTTATTTTTAGCCTTTGCAAATTGCAAAAACTAAATATATAGGGTCGAAGACGTGGTGTGTGAGTAGCGGACTTGCTGTGCGTAATGGCTGCGACCGAGCGCACGATCGAGTATGCCGGTAGCTCATTTACGTAAAGGTTATACGTTGGTTTACGGCTTACGTAAGAAACAGTCAAGGTTTGTACTTTAAGTACGAGCGTTTTCTGAAGCCACTAGTTCCATGGTAAGATCCGCTAGCACATTGTCGGGTCTGTAATGTGTCTTTTTCCGTCGAAATGCTGCAAGATCCGACTTGCAGCGGTTATGGTGACTTTAGACAGTGTGTGTTTGGGCTCCGTTTGTGACAAAATCCATAAGAAATGAAAGAAAATAGATGTTTTCTTTGCAAAGATGAGGATTTGGGGCATGCTGGGATACCAAACACGGCCATGTTTTGTGACGTATTTTGCGGAAGCAAGCCGTACGAACAGAAGGGGAGGGGATCGAGGACTCCGGCGTCCTCGCGGGGTGCAGGAGGTTACAGAAAACATGCTTTTTTTATTCCACCGGCGGGTTCTGGGTTCTACATTTTATTCCTCGTGTTCTCATTATAAATGTCTCCTCTAATAAAGAGTTCACTTTAACCAGATTGTGTAGAAACACTAAGTTGTGAAACTATGAAGACCGATTCATCTGAGACCAACAGTCATGTGACAACAAGGAGGAGACACTCTGACTATAGATAGATAGTCTCCACTTGAAACATGTGGGATATTTAGATTCCAGTGTTGTTTTCTTGTAAAATAAATTATCAAAGAAATTCAACGTGTGTATTTTTTATAATAGCTGTTATTCTGCACTAAATGTGTTTGTTAGTGACAAAAATAGAATATATTAATAATGCAACACTTTGAAAGGACCCACTCTGCACTATGAGTACTTTTACTTTAATACTTTCAGTAAATACTTCTAAACTTTTACTCAAGAACACATTTTGAAAAGCAGGACTTTTATAGTAATGGAGGTATTTGTACTTTTACTTGAGTAAAGGATCACAGTACTTTTGGATATCTTCGGTTGTATAAGTAACGTTAGCTATAATCTTAATGTATACGAATACGATCTGTTGTTGTGGTTTGTAATCAGTTCAAACTAAATGACGTCACATTAAACATCTACAACTACCACAAATACTAAAATATATATTTTTCTGGACCCCCTTTAAGAGTTAAAGAAGAGTCCGCGACCCTCAGTTTGAGAAACTTAACTGTGGGTCAAAACGGCCGTTATTAACGGCTCCTTGAAGCTAACAGGCTAACGAACGTTAGCTTCCTTTCTTACCGACGGGTTTGTGTCCGATCATCGCGTGAAACAGACAGACCTCCACCTCGTGGCTCCAGACCACCGAGTCCTCTCCGGGACCCAGGCCGGAGTCCGGAGGCTTCTCGTCGGGTTGATTCAGCGTCACGTCTGCTTCTCCCATTTTGAACTAAAAGAGCTAAAGACACATACACAGGCAGGAAGAAGCTAACAGCGCTAGCAGCCAGCTAGTAACCGCTGTGGACACAAGAGTCTCTCTCCACTTTAGTTCCGCCTCCACCGGCAGCCGGAAGTACGAGAGACCACATCCGGGTAGTCGTGTTTTTAATTTTCCGAATAAATGTCTTCACTATGGAAGACCATTTCCGCAGCAAAAATAAATAAATAGTTCCGTTTTTTTAAACAAAAAACAAATGTCAAAAGGTCAACGCGTAATTTTGCATCTAAATAAACAAATGACTAAATTAGCAAAACATTACTTCAGAATAAGTTTGTCTTATCTTGAGCGCAGAAATATGTCAGAAAAATTACTTTTACCCCTAAAACTACAAAATAATGAAGTAAATAAACTAATTGTTGAAAAAAAGGATAATGCAAGCTGGAATTATGTTATACTTTTAATCTGTTTTCAGAACAAAAGCCTAATGTCAAAAGGTCAACACACTTACATCTAAATAAACAAATAATGAATAAATAAGTAAGCAATGCATCATGCATTACACCATCACACTTGGCTGATTGAGCCATTGCATTTTCCTTAAACTACATATTTTACACTACATATGTCCGAGTCCAGAGACTTGAACGTGTTTGTTTTGCAGAAGGTATAGTGAGGAATGTGAAAGTGTTTGAATGTAAACTTTGTACTAACTTCCTATTTTGCATTCGTCTTCAATTTAAATTAGAATTTTGAGCTGTTAGATAAAATAAAATATATTTCAAAGATGTATCAAGAATGTTCTTTTCTAAATATTGGACACTTTCTTTTTTTATCTTAAGAAAACCATATCATATCGACCACAGCGTATTTGAATTTATTCAGTATAGAGGTTAAATACCATAATTAGATATTCAGTTGCATATATTAAAACTATTATAGCTATTGTATGATGTGTCATACATGTTAATCGTGGAGTTCCTCAGGGATCTGTTCTAGCTCCCCTGTTGTTCTCTAAACACTTTACTTTAAATCTCGGTTATACTGAAGAAAAACATCGAAACAGTCTCAAAGTAAGAAGATTAAGAAGAGCTATTTAAAACATTTGAGTTCTGCTGGTGATGGAAACACTGGATTCAAGCATCAAAGAACCAGACTCACTCAGAGTTATGCTTCTCGATACGGTGATCAAAACACCAAAAAGGTTTATTGCAAATAAAATAGATAGCCGGAGCCGTAACAACGACCTGCACAAAGTCAACCAGAGAGAGAAAGACAAAGAAAAACGTTTCAGGTATATTTAAAACGATGAGGGGCTACTGACCGTCACTGAGCTGAATATGAGCGTGAAACTTCTATTTCTGCTTATGTTTTACATCAAAATACAAAACGGTGCATCTCTTAACAAAGCAACATCAAGAACAACGAGAACGAGAGGCTGAACACGACCAGTCGGAGGGTTTTCTCTTCCTCAGCATCCCAGAAGTTAAAGAGATTTTATGAAAACACACCAAACCTTTGTGAATAATGCACGGTGTCCTAAAGAGACTTTAAATTAAAATTACTTCCTCAAATGCCATTAAAAAAACCAGTCAAACGAATATAAAGTTATCTAAAATGTGATAGTCTTTACTTTGAAGAGAGTTACATTTTATATTTAAAATCCAAGAAGACTTTTCTCTCAAATTTACAACTTTTGCAATCTAAATTTGAACTTTTATTTTGAAATTCTGAAACTAAAACCCTTTGTGTCTACTGTGCATTATGGGAAATTTATTTTCCAGAAGCTTTTGTAACTTGAGCTGTATGCGGGACATCTCGTCTTCAGCTGCTTCATTTTTGATTATGTTGTATTTTACGCCTCGTTTGAGTCACATGTTACAGAAGTGCTGTGAAACTGCTGAAGTAGTCCATGAACATCAGATAAATGACTTCTAGCTATAACTGTTGACATTTGTGTTACGTATTCTGACTTGGATCGTTGATGCGTCGCCTACAGGTGTGCAGGAGGATAAGTCCAAGTGACAGAAATCAGCTTCAGGTGAATTTATTGAGCTTCACATTTGTTTCAGTCCAGAAATGTTTTTCATGACAAAAAGGGTTTTAGGTAATTTATCAAATCCACCTCTGATTTCATGGCTTTCTAAGCTAATAATAATAAAAAAAATTACAATTAAATCAAAACTGGGAATGCTTTTTGGAAGAAAAAAAACAAAGCTCCCTCATTCTCACAGCCTATTGGATGAGAGGGGCCACGGGGCCCCGCCCCCTCGCAGCCTCTCCACCAATAAGATCTGAGAATGAGGACTGGAAGATGATCAGTGCAGGAGGTTCAGTCCTGCCTCCTCCTCCCTTTACTCCTCACAGGCCAGAACGTTATACAACCAGTCCATCAGGGATCCGTCCTCTCAAAGTTCTGGCCTTCAACAAGAAACAACGTAAAACAACGTAAAACAAGACTGAAAACACTGACGTGAGAAAGCAGAAGGCAGAATGAGCAGCGTCAAAATAAAAGCAGGAAGTAAGGAAAGCGTGCGGTACAAGCTCAGATTCACTGGACAGGATTTATAGGAAGGACGACGTGGCTCGTTTGGAGGCTTTAAAACACAAAGCGTGTTTCACTCGGAGGTCTTTTCTAATTGTTTAAACCAACACGCTCCTTCAAACAGTGCAAGCCTGAAACAGTGCGTTCAGACCAAACGCAAAGCTAACAAACTAGCACACCTGCGTTTCCCTTAAAGAGTCGCCCCCTGATGGACAGTAGAGAGAATGCAGCTTTAACACATGGAGCTTTGGATCTACACAAGAAGAAGAAGAAGCAGCCATCGGACCATACGGTCAATTTGGAAACTGTTGATTGAACTCAACGACAGCCGCCACGAACATTAGCGCCACAGAAAAGTGGGATTTGAAGAACGCAAGTGTAAAACTCGTCTCTGAGTTTGGTCTGAACACACTAACGGTTTCTGGTCCATCGGAGCCGACGAGCTGCAAACACACGAGGATGAGGTTCATGATGCTTCCAGGTGCTCATTCAGATTAAACACATTTAGTTAAACTTCATGAAACGTAGAACCAAGACAACACTCGGTGGGATGAAGGTTCCTGTGAGAGCAGGTGAGAGAAGAATCATCCGCTCTGTTGTCACCAAAAACAACCTGATCAGGACCTTCCTTCAGAGACAAACAACGTTAGCTACGCCCCCCTCACTGGTGGGAGGGGCTTCAGGGAGACGACTTGGTGGCAGCAGGCTGGATGAGAAGTGTTGGGGGGGGGGGGGGGCGGTGGGGCTATTGGTCCTTCTTCTCTGTCTCCGAGTCCTCTTTAACCTCCGAGTCTGTGTCTTCAGAAGGAGTCTCCTCATACCTGAGAGGAGGAAGAGAAAGAAGAGGAAGAAACAAAATCATCATCAGAACAGGTGTCTTCATTATCAATCAGCAGAACTTTATTCACTTCTTCATTATTTTCATTCATTAAAACAAACCATAAAATAATACAAACTATAAAATCTGCTTTATTTATATATTAGAAACGCATTTATTAATAATTCATATTTTAGTGTTGAAGCTCAAATTTTTGATTCCGGCATTTAGCCGTGAACACAAACTCAACACTGTTTAAAAATAAAAGCCCTGCGGCGCTCCAGTGGATTCATCTCAGAACAAGGAAGCTTTTATTGTGAAACATTTAAATGAATCTTATCTGATCCATGAGAATTCTCTCCGTAGTTTAAAAATGTTCTTTATTTACAAAACTAGAAATCTAAAATTAAATATTTTAATTATTATTTTATTTAATATAAATATATAATCATAATATATAGATATATATATACATTTAAAATGTCACTTTTGCAGAATGAAAATGAAATACATTGTAATTATTTCTAATGAATGTATTGAGATGATTTTCATCAGGCTGATTACCTGGCCAGGGGAGACAGGAGGGTGTGTGTGTGTGTGTGTGTGTGTGTGTGTGTGTGTGTGTGGGGGGGGGGGGGGGGGGGGGGGGGGGGGGCCTCTCCGTGGGGGTGGGCCATAAACGTCTGTGACGGGGGGAGGAGCTTGTTGCCATGGAGAAGGCGTCCATGGAGCTAGCCAGGCTGGCGGGCGAGCCGCTGACGGTTGGGAAGGAAGTGAGCCGAGGAGAGACGGGGAGGAGCTCCTCTGATGACTCATAGCTGACCGGGGGGGGGGGGGGCACGACAGAGAACAGAAGAAGAAGAAAGGTGATGAAAATGAAAGAAAAAAAGGAGGGGGGGAGAAAGAGAGAGAAAGAGAGAGAGAATGTTTAAGTTTGAATCTTAAAGTTTAGAGCTGCTAAAGACATCTCATGCTAAAATATGAGAGATAAGAGGACAGAGGAGAGGACAGAGGAGGGGACAGAGGAGAGGACAAACGAGAAGACAGATGACGAGACGACAGAGGAGAGGACGAGAGGACAAAGGACGAGACAGAGGAGAGGACAGGACAAAGGAGAGGACAGAGAAGCGGACGAGAGGACAGAGGACAAGAAGACAGAGGACGAGAAGACAGAGGACGAGAAGACAGAGAGGAAGAGAGGACAAAGGAGAGGACAGAGGAGAGGACAGGGGACAAAGGAGAGGACAGAGGAGAGGACAGGGGACAAAGAAGAGGACAGAGAACAAGAGAAGAGGACGAGAGAAGAGGACAAATGAGAGTACATCAGGACAAAGGAGAGGACATGACAAAGGAGAGGATGAGAGGACAGATGAGGAGCGAAGAGGACAAGAGGACAAAGGCGAGGATGAGAGGACAGAGGCGAGGACAGAGGACAAAAGACAAGAGAGGAGCGAATGAGACGGACAGAGACAGAAGAGAGCAGGTGGTGACGGAGCTGAGGAGGAGAGATTATGGCAAGAAAAAGGAGGAAGAGAGCCGAGGAGGAGAGGATGGAGAAAAGAGGATGATGATGATGAAGAGACGAGTCTGACAGTCTGAACATTACAAGCTCACAGAAATGTGATGCAACGTTTCCACTTCTCATAATCCCAAAAACTCACATTTTTGACAGATGAACAGATGGATTGTTTCTGTAAATCAGTTTTGGGTTTTTGGTTCGTGAGGATTTTAGTCTGACGAAGGAGACGAAAACATTTCTTGCCGCCATCTTTTATTTTCTCTCTTTATTTTCTTGTGTTCTGTATTTTTGATAATTGATGTCGTCCGAAACGTTCCTCTTCCAGTTTTATAATCACATTTCACTGAAATGACAGAAGCGGTCGGTCCAGTTTCTGTTCTCAGATGTTTATTCTGCCGTCCAATCACAGAGCAGAAAGGATCAAACCATGTGATCACTAAACCGACCAATCAGCTGTGAGACGTTGACACAGACGTGGACCATTAAACGTGGGTCACCACACATCACAACATCGGGAATAACTTATCAATTCTATTCAGTACTTCAAATGGATTTTTAATATTTACATTATGTTTACATTTTTAGACATTTGAGAAAATGCTGACTCACTCACTTGAAGTATTAATGATTCAGTGTGGCTTTGTAGCACAAAGGCAGTAAAACTGCCTGTGCCAAAGCACACTGTATATAATGCATCAGGATTAATAATAATCTTTATCCAAAAGTTTGGCGCGCTTCTCCTCACACAGCGTTGCCAACAGCAGCGTGAAAAATACATCAAAACGTGCGGCCTGATCGGGAATAGTGTGCCATCTATTTTTCGGAGAGATTCGCCAAAGCGGTATCCCCGAAAATTCCCAGAAACTGAGCAAAATTTCTCCATTCACTTGAATGGGGTTTCATCGTGAAGAGAGCTAAAAAAAACACTTAACTTTGGGCCCATATTGACTGGCCGTGCATTAACGTAGAAACATGATTCAAAGTTTAAAACGTAGACAAAACACTGCACTTTATTGAGCCAAAGGGACATTTTGATAGCTAGCAGTTTTCATGAAGTCACAGATTAAAGTTTCAGGAACATTTTGGGTCAGTTTCAGATTTTATAACGGGTGTGTATTGCACGGCTCGTTAAGAGCTAGAGTGAGAGCATAACTGTCAGAGTGGAGCGGAGCAGGAAAATATTCTGTGATTTTTCCAAACACTCTTTATACACCATTTTGGCCGAAAAGCTTGGAAATGTTGTGCTGGTCGCAGTAAAGTGTCTGTGGAAT